TATATAATTTATTTTTTAATTCAGGTCTCAATGATTTAATATTCACAACTTTTTTGCAAAAGATTCTCTAACCATAAATATTTTGTTAACCATAACTAACAGAGCAAATTTCATTTCAAAGAAAGTCCCCTAATATTTAACTTTAATTGCAACAAAATTTATTCAATACATCAAATATCGTGGCCATAATATCATAAAGTACATACAAAAAGATTATTCTTTTTCTTTTTTCTTTCGACAAAACAGTTATTCTTTTATTAAATTGTATTATCAATTCTGATTACATATAACAAGAAACAAAGTAATATTTGCTTATTTTGTTATAGGGTGATAGCGGTAGCGGAGTTATCCGCAACAGTGACGGAACGATTATTGGTCTGGTCTCCGGTGGAAGACCATGTGCTCAAGGTTACCCAGATGTATACACTAACGTTGCGAAATTCGTCCCTTGGATCAATCAGAAGATGTCATCCTAATAATACAAATTCTCTCCATGTATTGTCATATCCTTAATACTTAATAAAAATTATTCAGCAAATATACTAATTAGAGTTTTCTCGTCAAATGTTTACGTACAGTTCAATAAAGTTTAAAGGAGAATGTTTCACGTAAATTTTCAACTAAATATATTATGAATATATATCATTTCTGTGTACAAAACGACATTATTGAAATCGACTCGGATTCAATGCGATCTCGTTTAATTTTATTTGTTATTTGAAGGGCTGTCATATTGTGCACAGAGACACGTGAGCGTATTGATAAATTCAATATAATAAATATAAGATCCCTCTCTTTTGAATTTTTATAAAAATAATATAATTAAATAATTAAAATACTCATTAATATCATTCTCTTTTACGACTTTCGGTTGTAAATCAATAAGTATTTGTGATAATATATGTACTCTGATAATACTTGGGGTGCTCTCTTATTTTGGTATACTCTTCGTTTTTTACAGTATCTTATTCGATACTGTACGTGTTCTTTCCTAACATGATTATATAAAAATAGTATAATAATAATTATAATATAACATAAATGAGATAATTAATGTAATTAACTTTGAGAAGATATATTTTTCAAGATCTTAAACTCATAATTATGAAGCGATCAACATAGTCTTCTCATTCAGAATATAATTTATTAATTATTTATATATTAATATTCATTCATCCATTTAAATATTAAATTTAAGGTCGCGATGCGACTCTCTCTATGACACGTTTAATTATCAATATAACAGCATCTGTTAATACACATAAATGCTTCTATTGTTCAGGAGAAATTTTGGTCGCGCAAATAAATACAATATGGTTCGTTGTTGGCTTATTACCATTACGGCAGAATTGTGTTGCTAATTAATATTATCTCGCCCGTTAAATATCTTAATCCATTTATCATGCAATTTTATTTCGCATGACTGCTCTATTTGTCAAGTATAAAGGAGTTTACGAAGTCGCATGCGAGTACAGATGGTATTAAGGTCAAAGAAAGCTAGAAAGCTACTGATCATAATGATTCGTACCAACATATCGTTGTACTTTACCACAGGAAAGCTGATCCTTATGACAATAACAACATTTTGTAACTAAGCAAACTAATGCAAATTTATGCGAATTCGAATTCGATATAAAAAGATATTGCAATAAGAAAAGATTTCCAGACTTTTGGGTGTATATCGATCTTGATAATATATCCAAATAGAAATGAAAATCTAAAAGAATCCAACATCTGATTTTAAAACAATGGGACACGTAACGAGAATAGTATGTTCGTGTAATTCACATTTAATATTTAATAATTATATTTAATAATTTATACATTTGTGATAATGAACTTTTACTTATAACATTGTTGTATGTGCATCTTTATCAATCTATCAATATGCATTCTATAATTTTGTTATATTATTTATTATTGTCGAGTTATAACAAATACATATATATTACAAAAATATAATAAAAAAATATAATTATCCTTTCAAATTTGCCATTATTTAATGAAATTGATTTAGTGCATATATTGTGTTGCAAAAGATAAACAACTTTTTTATATAAATCCTAAATAGAAAATTTTTAAAATTTCTCTTTTATTCTAGTTTCTAGTAATTAAAATTAACGCTTTTGGTTCTTTCATACATAATACATATATATATCTGAGATTTAATTAATGATATTCTATACTATATGACAGACGACAAGCAATTTATTTGTTATTACCTTATTTATATTGTGTAAAAGTTGAATTAATCCATGAGAATTTATCACATGTTGCTCAACGATATAATATTGCTCCAAAAAATACATTGGATAAATATAAAAGCAAATAGAGGTTCATATTGACATCTTCTTTAATACAACCTTAAATAATTGCAATGATTCGCGATAATTTCATTATTAACACGATCGCGATCTCCGCAAGATAATTGCATTATTAACGCACAAAATAAGATCAAACGGTATAATTAATGCTGTTCATGCAGCTGTGCACATATTTTGACGTGTATATAAAATGTACTGCAGGTAATATTGGTCGTTATTGTGCAAAGTTTGCCAGGCGCAGTATCAAAATTAACATCTAAGCATGATGAGGCAGTTAGTGTGCATCCTGATCGCCTTAACGATCATTGGTAAGTCAAATATCGAAAACTAAATAGCTTCAAACAATCTCTAAATAATTAATTTGGGTCACCTCAGTGTGTATTTTTTTATTTTTATATAGAAATATATAGAAATATATGGAAAATATAGAAATATTAATAATAAATATGTAGAAATATATAGAAATAAATATATAGAAATTGTCTTTAAAATTTAATTCTTTCCTATATGTGTCTGGAAACAGGTATGGGATTAGATAAATTTAAAATGTGATTTTTTTTTTCTTGGATTTCTGAGCGTAACAATGATATATTACTAAAAAATGCTAATTAAACAGTAATAAGATTCTTTTACAATTTTGATTGCAAATTGTCGTCGCGTTTTAAGATTTTTTCGATACAATTATTAATATTTAAAAATTACTTTGTGCATCTTATACATATTTGTGAAATGATGTTTTGTGCCGTAGGAGTCTATGCGGATGAACCGGAAAGACTGGTAAACGGAATACCCACCAACATCGAAAATTATCCTTATATTGTCTCCATCAGGACCAAGGGCAATCATATGTGCGGCGGTAATCTAATTAGCACACGTCTTGTCCTCACAGCCGCGCATTGCGTAGAACCTTTGGTCAATGACGCCAAACTAAGACGAGACTTAACCGTTGTCAGTGGCACAACTCTGCTCAGTTCGGGCGGACAGATTAACAAGGTGTCGAGAATGTGGTACCACGAAAACTTCAATATGAATGCTCGGAGTGGAGATATCAGCTCCGACATCGGTTTGCTTGAGGTACGATTTTGAGTGAGATACATCTTGCTGCATCCGCTTTATTTGCGTTGTTACATTCTCGATGCATATGTTCTGTGATTTTGCTATAAACACAATGCTACATAGTGACGAAATAACGATCGATATTCCGGTTTATTTGTATAAAAAATATTTTCAGCTATCCAAGCCCATTGTCGTGAATGACAAGCAAAAGCCAATCGCCCTCCCAACGTCAAACTTAAAAAGGAATGAAGATGTTACACTCGTGGCGTGGGGTTCTGCAGGTTTTATGCGACCCGTACACAATGATTTGCAGAAATTGAATGCGAAAAGCATGCTGCCGGATGAGTGTCAAAATTATCATAAGCAGATGCGCATTAACAACAACGAATTCTGTACTCTCATCGCCAGAGGAACTGGAGCTTGCAACGTACGTAAATATATTATAATATAGAAATGTTCGATATTTATATATACGATTTTATCATTTGTCTTTATTTTTAGAAATTTAGTATTTTTTGCTTGTGGGATATATTTGTGATTGTGCTTATACAGGGTAGTCTGTAATTCGTGGTACAACCGGCAAGAGGCTGATTCTTCATGAAAAAATAAGTCGAAATTGCAGAATAAAATTTTTTTATATGAAGCATCGTTTTTTATAAAATCGACTTTAAATATTAGTTGAATACGTGTGCACTTGAGTAAGACGCCGTTGAGAATCTCGATACAGACCACTATTTATTCTTCTGTTTACAGTGTCCAGTGCTCACTTTAATATAGGATATGTAAATTAAAATGAGACATGATATCTCCTTTCGAAAATTCTCTACAAAAAAATTTTTAAATTAAACAAATGAAATTTTAAAATTTTATTCTGCCATTTCGGTTATTTTTTTATGAAGAATCAGTCTTTTGTCGGTTGTACCACGAATTACGGATCACTCTGTATACGCGGTTAATTTCAGGACATCATTCGTCTTAAACTATTATTCTCGTCCTGTCAGGATAATACTTTCTATTTTGCATCCCAAAACAGAATTTTTATATATATATAAATAACCATAAATATTGAATCTTATTAATTGTAAACATTTCTCACAACAATTTTTTTTAAGAATTGAAAATTTTATTTATAACAAAACTTAACACATCAAGAGAAACCCTAGTTATAATATGATAAAATACATTAAAATAGTTCTTTTTGCATTTTTAATCGCAAATTTCTCAAAACTATGACGTGATGAAGCATTTTAGAAGTCGGAAACAACATGAAAAAATTATTCTCTTTCTTGTGTTAAAAAAAAAGTTATTTTTTATTGTACTGTATTATCAATTTCGTTTTAACTTTACGTATAACAAGGAATGAAGAGAGAGTGATCTTTGCTTATTTTGTTACAGGGTGACAGCGGTAGCGGAGTTGTTCGCGACAGTGACAGAACGATCGTTGGTGTGGTCTCCCGCGGAATACCTTGTGCCCGAAATTACCCAGACGTATACACCAACGTTTTTAGTTTCCTCCCTTGGATCAATGAGAAGATGTCACTTCAATAATACCAACTCTCTTCATGTATTGCCATATCCTTAACACTCAATAAAAATCACGCACAGCAAATATTTTAATTTAGAGGCTCTTTCTCGAATATTTACATAATAGTTTAACGAACATTCAAAAGAGAGAATATTTCACGTAAATTTGTAAATAATTTAAATTACGAATATATGTCACTTTCGCGTACAAAACGACATTAAAACTGATCTTGATTCAATGCGATCAGATGACTGATAGAACGATTTCCAACGATCTCACTGTTTTGCTCATTATTCGAAGAAGTGTCACATTGTTTGGAGAGACACGTGCAAACACAGTAGTAGACTTACCTGACATAACGTGAGAGATGTAAACAACAAGACGGCACGTCGCACTCACTGCTAATCCAAGTAATAAACAGAGGTGTGTATGTAGTAAAAGATTTCACAAGCCTATAGACACACTTATTACAATCGTCTATTCGTGGTAAAGGCACTAATATATTTACACATCTCTTTAGCCCAACAAATAATTGCTAGAAAACAATATTTGTGGACTAGAAAAAATATGCGAGATGCGAGTGGCTGAATCGGAAATCGCACCCGAGTCTTTAGATTTTCAGGCAACTGCTCTCATCACTATTCAGCTATTTAAATCTCACCCCTTATGTCACTTTTAACACGTAATATAATATACGACTCCAGAGCGAAGTTGGAAGTCACTTAATGAACGCAACGCCAACTGTCACGGAGAAATCCGCGATAGGATAGCTACAGTGTGACTCCAGAGAGATGATGGTCCTATTCTCTCGACGAGACGATGTTCTCATCGTCGACGCGCGCCAAACACTGCCGCGCATATCGATCGTGTCAAGGGTCGAAGCTACACCCCCGCAGAATACGCATGCTCCAACGTTATATCGTCGGTTAGAAGGGATACGGTATGTGTATATGTGTATATGTGTGTGTGTGTATGTGTATATATGAAAAATTCTAGACTGTCCTCGGAGGGTGAGAGAGAATTTTTTTGCCTATGGAACACAACTTCGTAAACTTCGAATGTATAAAGATCAGGGACGCGCCTCGTATTCCGATCCTTAAGAAAAAAAGTTGCAACTCCTTTTTCAAGATCAAATTATGAATCGTTGTAATCAATTTTGATCATAATCGCATTTTTTAAGGATCTTAGAGAGAAAAGTGATCATTATAAAATAATCATAAAGTATCGTTGGAATAACTCTTTCCTTTTATTATCGATCGACTCGATCTTTTTCACAACAATAAATTAATTAGTGTCGCGCAATGTTGATGGCTTTATCATTACTGTGACCAACATCTTTTGATGAAATTATTTTATTCAGAGATTTTGTAAAACAATATAAATATAGACGACATTTATAACTGCGGCCCTATCGTTGGTCGTTTACCCTTTCTATAGTCTCTCTGAGAGAGTTACATCTAACAATTACGACAATTGTACGCGATATTTACGGTTATCTACACATTATAAGACACTTCCATATTTTATGCGAACTGTTGATCAAAGTGATGCGCAACAGTTAAAGCATCTATATGAGTCTATATCCTTCATACGCGGAAGGAATAAAATGTTAGTCCCGACACAATTTCACACTTTCGAGCATGCATTTCAAATCGACAAAACACGCAGGTGTGATTATTACATTTGGTATATAAAAACGGGATTGTAAAGGCTGCAATTTAAATTAATATCAATTATATATACTCTGATAATCAAATTTGCTTGCACATTTTGTTTCGAATCGATTCATGTTCCATAAAACAAAATATATTTCTAAACAAATGTTTCTTAAAGAATATTTTGTTGTTTGCCATGATAGATTTCGAATGGGCAATTAAGCTGAATCGCTTTACGCTGAACATCATCGGTTTATGGCCAAAAGTTTACGAAAATGCTTGCGACAGATTTTCATCGGATTTACGCACGACATTCTCCTTCTTTCTAATCGTTTTCGTTGGTATAATTCCTTCGATACATTCGCTGGTGAGAATCTGGAGTGACATGATCGCGAAAATCGACAATCTGCAATTCATTTTGCCGATAACGATATCGATAATAAAACTGGTGATCATACGATGGAAAAAAACCCGTAATAATTTTTTTTTTAATTTATTAATGCACTAAATTTTTCCAAAAACAATTCTTATATGCGACATCGACTAACTCGATACGTGAATTCAATTAACTTCATGTGGCACGGAATAGTTCAAAAACTAAATTATATCGGCAAGAACGTTACTCACATCATTGAATATTTCTCGCCAATATTTTTAATTACGCTGCACCAAAAAAATATAATATGAACAATTTCTAGCAAACAATAGCATTGATGTTTATTTTAGATAGGTTTTTTATGAAGTTTTTAAAACTATAATATAATTAGCTATTTCGTTAAAGATCTTACAGTGGCTTTAAAGATGATCGCCGACGATTGGATGAAAGTCAAGAGCGAGGAAGAGCAGCGCGTGATGATAAAATACGCACAGAACGCACGAAACATCCTCATCTTTGCATGCGTCCTCATGGTCGTAGGATTCAGTTTACTCATCGTTCTACCTTGCTTCGGAACATCGCTGAGATACATAACGAACATCACCGATCCGGCCAAGATCCTGCCGCTACAAACGTATTACTTCTATAATAAAGATCAGAGTCCGTATTACGAGCTCACGTTCACGGCGCAAGTTTTGCTAATGTTAATGGCAGGTGTATCTTATACCGGTGTGGATAATCTACTCGGATTATTGGTATTTCATCTGTGCGGCCAGATGGAAAATTTGAAAGAACGATTGATCAACATGAGGCAATATAAAACCTTTTGCGGCGGTCTCACTTTCATCGTTGAGGACCACATACGGCTAATCAAGTTTCGTGTTGAATTTTGATAGCAGCGAAAGTTATGAAATTTAATGTGTTCATCTCCTTGTATATTTTTCATACTATTTCAAATGTTTCTAGATTGGAGGGATCGCTCTATATAACTACATTTTTCTTTCAGATATTTTGACATTGTTGAGAGTACATTCACTCTATTGCTACTCGGATTGCTGCTTTATTTCGCCATTCTATTTTGTCTACACGGATTTTTGATCGTTGCGGTAAGCCGCAAGAAAGAAAACCCTAGCCTGTCTTTCTCAGATATAATAATGAATTAGAACACAAAAAACGAGGATTTATATTCTCGAAACTCCGTAGAAGTTGCAAAACGCAGAATCGCAAAAAGAACAATTCTTAACAACTTTGTTTTAGTCGCAATAAAAATAAGATAGTATATTCAACGTTTTTTCATTTTTTTATTTTTAGTAATATCCTAATGCTTGTGAAATATTTTTATATTAATTATTTTATTATATATATATATATAAATATAAAATTATAAGCTCGAAATAATGAATATTATATTAATGTTTAATGACAAAAGCGGTATAATAAATAATTAAATTTCTGGTCATTATAATGACATATTTCGTGCCATTATTTGCGATAATACTGCTTATCCTAGGTACTCACGGAAGGAAGAGAAATGTCAATGATTCGTTTGATATATCTAATATCTGTAGTGTTAAACGTTGGCGGCCATATGTGTCTATATTGCGTAGTAGGCGAGATTCTGGTAGCACAAGTAAGTAATCAAGTTAATATAGCAGTAAGAAAAAATGTATAAAGAAAAAAAACAAATTATAGTAGACGATGAATAGTGATGAGTAGACGCGATAAGTGTGTAATCATTTATATTATCTATGAATTATTATTTATAAAAAGTGCGAAGAAATATATCACGCAGCATATAATTACGAATGGTACACATTGAAGCCGGAACAGGCAAAAAGTCTGATCCTGATAATGATACGGGCTAACAAACCACTGTATATTACAGCTGGGAAAATGTTTCCTATGACACTCTCGATGTTTTGCAACGTAAGCGTCTTTTATCTGTTAATACTTTAATAATTTATAGAATAACGACAGCCAATCTCTCTCGGCTAACAAGTAACTTCTCACACGCGCGCACATACATAAACACACAAATCGTTCTACTAAAATATATAAATTATACATATTTTTATATAAAGTTTCTAATACTATGTCATCTACGATATTTTCCTACTACAAATCAATAAATTATTCTATTATAAATTATAACATCGCTCGCAAGTTTTTTATGCAAAACATAAAATAGTTCTCCAGATAAATATATGTACATAATCTGCACTTGAAAAAAATTGCACTGCTATAGCTTCTCATTGCAATACTCTGTTTAAAGAACCATATAAATAAAATTTCATAAAACGTAAAATATAGTACATATAATAAAATAATAGAATATTAGAAGATATATTAACAAATTTCTTTATATCAAATTATTTAATTTGATTAATCAAGACAATTTTCATATATTATTCAAGATCGTCGCACTTTTCCTAAACATTATACAATAAAAAAATATTCTAACTAAAATATATAAATAAAAATTTACTGTGTATATTTTTTTACAATGTTGAAACACATGCTTTATATGTTATAAAATAAATATATTATTTTGTAAATTTCAGTTAGTAAAAACTTCAGCCGGCTATGTATCAGTTCTACTCGCCAGCCAAGGTTCTTAAAACTAATTTCAAAATTTACAGAAGAAGAGGCATCATATTATAATATATTCCACTGAATATAAAAAATAACGTAGATGTAATGTAGAAATATGTATATTAAATATATATAAAATTATAGCAAAAAATCAAAATATATATTATATATATATAATATTATACTTATTGCAAAAACTTGTCATTTAAAATATTTTCTTTTAAATAAAAATGTTTTGTAGCGATTTGGCAAATCACTACTCATAATATTAGCATATAGGGGAAAGTAGGGTAAAACCGGGTATTTTTTTGGATTTGTCTTCCTACAAAAAAATCTGTTAATTTTTTTCTTCAATTTCTTTAATTTTTTTACAGCCTTTTTTGTTCTCTTTTTTTCTTATTATCTTCTCTTATTATTATTTGCGTCCGACGATTGGGAACACTGGTACTTTTAAACTTTTAATGTACCAGTCTCCGGACGCATATAATAAATATCGTTCTAATTATGATTTTTATGATGAATTTCGTCAAAGCGAGTTTCTAACTAATCTTTGAAATTAGATATTCAATTATTTATTCATAAATATAATTAAATATTCTCATACTATTAACTAGATGCTTACGCTTAACGAATTTGTTAACGATCGGCCATCATTTTGTCAAACCATAGACACATGCATATTTAATCAATCTTTTTTAATACAAAATTTTAAATCAGATTTATTTTTTTTCTCAGTTAATCGTCAAATGATAGAATTTTTTTAGAATAATAATTATTTTCATTCATAATTGTTCAAATAAATAGTAAATATTTTTTATCGATGTGGTCTGAAACTGGGACGTGTCCGGCCATTAGGACATTCATGTGTCACTGGCGATCGAACTTATCGATAGCTCGACCGCTATTGACTAACAAGTAAGAAAAACATCTGTCTTTCACATCAATTCATTGTTTATTTATAGCAATAGCGAATAACAGAACGATTTAAATGGTAACCCCGCTAATTTTTGAAATTCTCTTCGTATAGGTATAAAGATTAACCAATGATTTTAGCCCTTCCTTTGGCTGATCCAGAAATGTATAATGTTTTCGCTTACCTTTATTGTATCAAAAAAATTATAGAATTGCAATAGTATCATTTTCAATACTCTTCATCCAACGAGCGTAATAGCACTCCTAACAATAAAGATTATTATCTTTGTTATAACGATATTTGTGTATAGTGTTAATCAACCTAAAAATCGCAATTACTTTGGAAACTCAAACAAGTATTATGTAGTTAAGAGATCTCGAAATATTTGTCTATAATTAAAACATCTTATTTCATTAATTAATATAATTAAATTTATATATATTACAAGATAATATATTTGTTGTAATAATAAATCATTTGTATTCATTATATTGATAAATTTAAACCAGTAATTAAAAATATTATTTAATTCAAAACACAACATAATTGTAAACAATGTTCACTCGTTTGCGGCCCTGTCTCGTAGCTATCAGTCTCCCTTTTTTCGCTTTGCTATGAGAATGTAGCACTTGACAATTACGACGCGTGCAATATTTACGATTTTTTTACATATTGTATAACGAGACCTATAAAGTTTATAAACTTTTATGCAAAACAGTTACCACTTCCCGAAGTCTATGGAATACATCTTTCCTACGGAAAGGTAAACGTCATTAGCTTCACGTGTGTCTTATTGTCAGTATGGATACCATCAAGGCTAAAAGATACGCAGGTCCTTGCAATAATAATATCAGTGACAAATCGCGAACTATAATATATGCCTGCGTGTACTGATATTATTGAAATATATATATACATTTACATATTCATAATTTATTTATATTTTTAAATATTAAAACAAAAATTTTAATATTTTCTCTATAATTGTTTGATTAAAATAAATATAATAGAAATATTCAAATTTTCACGACAAGTTATTAAAAAGAAAGTTAAATAATAACTTTCAGATTATATGTGTATATGAGATCAGTAAAAATCATTTTCTTAGACATGCAAATATTTCGTTAATAGAATAAAATCAATAATAATTACAAAATTGTTAAACATGAATATTATTTTACTCAATACACTACACGAAACAATTAAAAACAATTAACACATATGTATATGTATAAAATATGTACAACATATGTATAAAATATACTTTTCTGATATTATATATTTGCCTTATATACAAATTTATTGTGATTCACGAGTAGAATAAAATATTAATGAACTTATCTATATAGATCTCGAATGGGCAATTAAGCTGAATCGCTTTACACTGAACATCGCCGGCTTATGGCCAAGAAATTACGAAAATGTTTATGACAGATTTTTATCGGATTTCCGCACGACATTCTCCTTCCTCCTGATCGTTTTCTTCGGTTTAATTCCTTCGATACATTCGCTGATGAGAACCTGGGGTGACATGATCGCGAAAATCGACAATCTGCAATTCACTTTGCCGTTAGTGATAGTGATAATAAAGCTGGTAATCATACGATGGAAGAAAACTGGTAATGATTGTTTAGAAATCTAATTATGCGCAATATCAATTAGCTTGATACGTGAATTAATTGAAGTTATATGACGCCGAATAGTTCCAAAACTGGAGCATATCGGCGAGATACTCATATCAAAAATATTTCTCGCCGATATTGCTGTTACATTTTTGATTACGCTGCAGCAAAAAGTAAAAAAAATATAATACAACTAATTTATAGCAAACGATACCTTTGATGTTTATTTTAGAGAGATTTTTTATGGAGCTTTTAAATTTTAGAATATAATTCGTAATTTTAGAATATAATTCGTAATTTTTATTAAAGATCTTATAGTGGCGTTAAAAATGATCGCCGACGATTGGCTAAAAACCAAAAGCGAGAAAGAGCAGCGCGTGATGATAAAATGCGCACAGAATGCACGAACTATCATTATCTTTGGATACGTTCTCATGATCGTAGGAATAAGTTTCTACATCTTTCTACCTTGCTTCGGAACGTCGCTAAGATACATGACGAACATCACCGATCCGCAAAAAATCCTGCCACTACAAACGTATTACTTCTATAATAAAGATCAGACTCCGTATTATGAACTCACATTTATTGTGCAAGCTCTGCTACTCATAGTCGCATCTGCATCTTATACCGGCGTAAATAATCTACTCGGCTTACTAGTATTCCACTTGTGTGGCCAACTGGAAAATTTGAAAGAACGATTGATCAACATGAAGCAATATAAAAACTTTTGTGTCGATCTCACTTTCATCGTCGAGGATCACATACGGCTAATCAAGTTTCGTGTTGAATTTTGGTAGCAGCGGAAGTTATGGAGTTTAATGTGTTCATCTCCTTACATATTTTTTATGCAATTTCAGATGTTCCTAGATTCGAGAAATCGCTCTAACTACATTCTTCTTTCAGATATTTCAACATTGTTGAGAGTACATTCACTCTACTGCTACTCGGACTGCTGCTTTATTTCGGCATTTTATTCTGTCTATACGGATTTCTGATCGTCATGGTAAGTTGCAAAAAAAACCCTAGCCTGTCTTTCTCAGATAGAATAATGAATCAGGACACAAAAAAGTGCGAATTTGTATTCTCGAAACTTCGTAAAAGTTGTAAAACGCAGAATCGCAGAAAGAACGATTTTTAACAATTTTATTTTAGTCGCATTAAAAATAAAATTATATATTCAACGTTTTTTAATTTTTGTATTTTTAGTAATCCTTGCTTCGGAACATCGCTGAGATATTTAACGAACATCACCGATCCGACCAAAATCCTGCCACTACAAACGTATTACTTCTATAATAAAGATCAGACTCCGTATTATGAATTCACATTCGCTGCGCAAGCTCTATTACTCTTAATGTCAGCTGTATCTTATACCAGCGTGGATAATCTGCTCGGATTACTGGTATTCCACTTGTGCGGTCAGATGGAAATTTTGAAAGAACGGTTGATCAACATGAAGCAATATAAAAATTTTTACAACGGTCTCACTTTCATCGTCGAGGATCACATACGGCTAATCAAGTTTCGTGTTGAATTTTGGTAACAGCGGAAGTTATGGAATTTAATGTGTTCATCTCCTTACAAATTTTTTACGCAATTTCAGATATTCCTAGATTCGAAAAATCGCTCTAACTACATTCTCCTTTCAGATATTTCGACATTATTGAGAGTACATTCAATCTACTGCTACTCGGACTGCTGCTTTATTTCGGCATTTTATTCTGTCTATACGGATTTTTGATCGTCACGGTAAATCGCAAGAAAGAAAATCCTAGCCTGTCCTTCTCAGATAGAATAATGAATTAGGACACAAAAAGTGCGAATTTGTATTCACAAAATTTCGCAAAAGTCTCCGTAAAACCCAGAATCGCAGAAAAAGAGTGATTTTAACAATTTTATTTTAGTCACATTTTAAATAAAATAATATATTCAACGTTTTTTCATTTTTTTATTTTTAATAATGCCCTAATATTTGTGAAATATTTTTATATTAACTATTTTATTATATATAAATGTGAAATTATGAGCTCGATATAATACATCAATATTATATTAATATTTAATAAAAAAAGCGATGCAATAAGTTAAATTTCTGGTTAAAATAATGCCACATTCCGTGCTATTATTTGTGATAATAAAAAATTAATTGCTTATCTTAGGTACTCACGGAAGGAAAGGAAATGTCAATGATGCGTTTGATATACCTAATATCTATAGTGTTAAACGTTTGCAGCCATATGTGCCTATATTGCGTAGTAGGCGAGATTCTGGTAGCACAAGTAAGTAACCAAGTCAATATGACAATAAGAAAAAATGTATTAAAAAAAAAGCAAATGATAGTAGCGATGAGTAGTGATGAGCAAACGCGATAAGTGTATGATTACTTGTATTATTTATGAATTATTATTGATAAAAAGTGCGAAAGAGTATATCACGCAGCATATGATTACGAATGGTACACGTTGGAGCCGAAACAGGCGAAAAATCTGATACTGATAATGATACGGGCCAACAAGCCCCTGTATATTACAGCTGGGAAAATGTTTCCTATGACACTGTCGATGTTTTGCGACGTAAGCTTCTCTTACTTGTTATTATTTTAATCATGTATACAATGCCAACCTCTTTCGGCAAACAATTTATCGCACACACACACGCGCACACTATTGTACTAAAACTAAAATATTGATTACGTATATTTTTATATAATTTTTTAAATATTATATTATTTAAAAAATTTTTCTACTAAGAATCAATACATTATTCTATTTTAACATCGCAAACAATTTTTTTGTAAAAAATATGAAATAGTTTACCAGATAAATTTAAATATATAATCTGCATTTGAAAAAAATGCGAAATGACATCTCTACATAAAAATTATTAATTTGTTTTTTTATTAAACTTTTTGTATATTTAATGTATTACAAAAGATATTAAAAAGATTTATCACTATACTCCAGATTTTTCCTTAATTTAGTATTAATATTACTTCATTAAAAAGATGTATGTGTCATATGTCAAAACGTTGTCAAAATCATAAAAATTTCGCGTAAACTGTTTTACTATTTCTTCTGAGTATCTCAGCAAAATTCTCTTAAAAATTTGGAAATCATTTGTTTAAAGTTTGTATTGATTCTTATGGAAAATCCCGTATGATGTGCAGCATTTATTGATAAATTTGAGGAAAAAACATTGTCAGCGAAATACAAATTTTCACATGTATTGACAAAACTTTAATAAACATTTGTGCAAAACTTAATTTACATTCACTTACTCGTTTAATAGTTATTTACTAAAAAAAAAAACAAATAATAATGAATAGACGCGATAAGTGTGTGATCACTTGTATTATTTATGAATTATTATTTATGAAAAGTGCGAAAAAGTATATTACGCAGCATATGATTACAAATGGTACACATTAGAGCCGGAAAAGGCGAAGACTCTGATCCTGATAATGATACGGGCCAACAAGCCCCTGTATATTACAGCTGGAAAAATGTTTCCTATGACACTGTCGATGTTTTGCAACGTAAGCCTCTCTTATCTGTTATTATTTTAATCATGTATACAATGATGACTGCCAATCTCTTTTGGCAGATAATTTATCGCACACACACTCGCGCACATCATTGTATTAAAATATAGATTATATATATATACGTATATTTTTATATAATTTTTCTAATATTATCTATTATTATGTTATTTAAGAAATTTTTCTACTAAGAATCAATGCATTATTCTATTCTAACATTGCAAACAATTCTTTTGTAGAAAACAAGATATTTTACCAGATAGATTTAAATATATAATCTCTGTTTGATAAAACTACGAGAAGACATTGTCAAAAGCATGAAAATTTCGCGCAAGATTGTTCTACTATTTCCCCTAAATATTTGTGTAAAATCTGAGCATAATCTTCTTAAAAGTTTAAAAATTATTTAAGTTTAAGATTTGTATTGATTCTTATGGAAAATCGCGTATTGCAGCACTTGTTGACAAATTTGAGGAAAAAACATTGTCAGCAAAATACAAATTTTCACATGTAATGACAAAACTTTAATATATATAAACATTTGTGCAAAACTTGTTTGCATCTACTTTCTCGTTTAATAGTTATTTACTAAAAATTATAGCAAAATATTTATAATAACTCAAAATCTTTCTGTAAATTACTTTTTTTTTTTCTTATGCAATTGATTTCACGAATCACTTACGATCAAAAATTTTTGCCATAAATTAGAAAAAATATTAATTACAACTATTTATTTGTATATTTTTACAATGTATCAAGACACACATCATACATTATAAAATAAATATATTATTTTGTAAATTTCAGTTAATAAAACGGCTATGTATCAGTTCTACTTGCCAGCCAAGGTTCATAAAACTAATTTCAAAGTTTGCGAGACGAAAGTATCATATTATAATATATTTAACGGATTACAAACAAAAGAAATGTAAAAATATGTATATTTTATAAGATTACTTCAAAAAATTAAAATATATATATAATATTATTTTTATTGCAAAAACTCGTCATTTAAAACATTTTCTCCTAAAATTAAAACGTTATATAAAGATTTTGTAAACCGCTTCTCATAATACAATATTAGCAAGTATAGCATATATAAATACAAATTAAACAAACAATTAACAAATTTATTGCAACATATATGTTGTCGGTGATGCGGGATATATTTGTATTTAATGGCAGTAATAACCGTTGTATTTGCTTATATGTGTCATTGCCGATCGAACTTATCGATTACTCAACCGCTATTGATCAAGAAGTAATAAAGGCGACTGTTTTTCACGTGAATTCTTTGTTTGTATCAACAGCAAATAACAGAACAAGTTCAACGGTAACCCCGCCAATTTTTGAAATTAAAACCGTATATCAAGATTCACCGATAACTTTAGTCCTTCATTTGGCTCGTCCAGAAATATATAATGTTTTCACTTATCTCCATTGTATTAAAAAAAAATTGCAATATTATTGAATAGACGCGATAAGTGTGTGATCACTTGTATTATTTATGAATTATTATTTATGAAAAGTGCGAAAAAGTATATTACGCAGCATATGATTACAAATGGTACACATTAGAGCCGGAAAAGGCGAAGACTCTGATCCTGATAATGATACGGGCCAACAAGCCCCTGTATATTACAGCTGGAAAAATGTTTCCTATGACACTGTCGATGTTTTGCAACGTAAGCCTCTCTTATCTGTTATTATTTTAATCATGTATACAATGATGACTGCCAATCTCTTTTGGCAGATAATTTATCGCACACACACTCGCGCACATCATTGTATTAAAATATAGATTATATATATATAGATTATATAAAAAAATCAAAATATATATATAATGTTATTCGTATCGCGAAAACTCGTCATTTAAAATATTTTCTCCAAAAATTAAATCTTTGTGTAGAGATTTCGCAAACTACTGCTCGTTATACAATATTAGCAAGTATATCATATATAAAGCAAATTAAACTAATAATCAACAAATTAATTGCCACATATGTTGTCGGTCATACGCGCCATACATATCTGTGTTTAACGACAGTGATGAACGTTATATTAAGCTTATATGTGTCAGTGGCGATCGAAAATATCGATTGCTCAATTGCTATTGATCAAAAAGTAAAGAAGACATCTATTTTTCACGTGAATTCTTTATTTGTACCAATAGCAAATAACAGAACAAGTTAAACGGTGACTTCGCTAATTTTCAAGATTAAAAATTCTTACCGTGTATCAAGATTCACTGATAAGTTTAACCCTTCATTTGATTCGTCCAGAAATGTACAATATTTTCACTTATCGTCATTGTATCAAAAATATCATAGAACTGTAATATTATCCTCTTCAACACTCTTCATCCCATGAGCGTAACAGCACTCCTAACAATAAAGATTATTATCTTTGTTATAACGATATTTGTGTATAGTGTTAATCATTTTCATCTTAATATCAGAAAACGTCATTTACGAAATTTTAGCTAAATATATACTAGTTATATATATACCTGCGCAACACAATGTAAAATACTTGTCATTGATATACGATGCTATAACACATTATTACAAATGTATCGTTTATACTACACGTGTGAAAAGTCGAAGGATCTCCAAGACACTGAATTGGAAGGTATGGCATATGTAAAACGCGCATGCTTCGTTATAGTTCGAATAAAAGGGGTATAGTAGAGGATATGGAGAGAGAATATCATTAAAATTTTAAAGCTGCCACCCTAACGAAAAACTTTTTTATTACGACAGCTGTATTACATGTGCGAGGTACAATTCAAAACTTTGCAAACTTGAAATACGCAAAGAACAGGGACGTATATTAATTTCAATAGACGAAAAAGAATGGGGAGAATTCTCAAATAATTACATTTAAAATAATATCGCTAATATTTTGAAGAACCTAAAAATTACTTTAAAAACTCAAAGAAATATTATAGTTAAGAATGCTCGGATATTGTCTATAATTAAAATATCTTTCTTCATTAATTAATATAATTAGTTTATATATATTACAAGATAATATATTCGTTAAATAATAAATCAACTGTATTTATTGTGTTGATGAATTTAAACTGTAATATTTAATAAATGATTCAACTCAAAACGCAATATAATTGTAACATAATTGTAAACAACATTCATATACGCGGCCCTGTTATATGTCGTACGTTGCTTTCCGTTTCAGCTTTCCTTCTTTCACTTTGCTATGAAAATGTGTACCTGACAATTACGATGCATGCAACATTTACAATTTCTACACCTTTATAGAACGGTCTGTAAAGTTTATACCTTTGATGCAAAACAGTTATTACAATTCCCGGGAGTTTATGGAATACATTTTTCGTGCGAAGAGGAAACGTCAGTTTCATGTATGTCTCAATATGGACAATATCATGGCCAAAAGATACGCAGGTCCTTTGAATAATAATATCAATAACAAACCACGAGCTATAATACATACTTGCATGTGTTGAAATTATTGAAATATGTATACATATATATATATATTCACATAATTATTATTTTAATTTTTAATTATTAAAACAGAAATTTCAATTTTTTCTGTAATTGTTTAAAACGGATATAGAAGAAACATTCAAATGTTTTTACGATGTATTATCAGAAAAAAATTGAAATAAATGTTTTCAGATTATATGTATTGTATATAAGATCAGATAAAAACTATTTTCTTAGAAACGTATATTTCGTTAATATAATAGAATAAAAAATAATTACAAAACTGTTAAAAATGATTAAGATTTTATACAATAAACTTCACGAAATTAAAAACAATTAACACATATGTACAAAACATATTTTTCTAATATTATATATTTGCCTTATTTACAAATTTACCGTGATTTGCACGAATAATAATAATAAATTAAATACTTATCTATATAGATTTCGAATGGGCAATTAAGCTGAACTGCTTTGCGTTGAACATCGTCGGCTTATGGCCAAGAGTTTATGAAAATGCCTGCGATAAATTTTTATCGGATTTACGTACGATATTTTCATTCTTCCTATTTGTTTTCGTTGGTATGATTCCCGCGATACATTCGCTTGTGAGAACATGGGGTGACATGTTTGCAATAATCGACAATCTTCAATTCACTTTGCCGCTATTGACGACAATAATGAAACTGGTAATCATACGATGGAAAAAAAATGGTAATGACTGTTCAGAGATATAATAAAGACAATCGGCGCCATGCGAAAACAATTCTTATAGGCGACATCAATTAGCTCAATACGTCATTTCGATTGACGTGACATGACGCAAAATAATTTTAAAAACAGAACATATCGGCGAGAGCGTTGCTCATATCATTAAATATTTATTGCCGATTGCTACTATATTTTTAATTACGAGGTATAAGTAACAAAATATAAAAAAAGTAAAATTACGAGCAACTTCTAGCACAAACGATATCATTGATGTTGATTTTAAAAAGATTTTGTATAAAATTTTTAAAACTATAATATATAATTTGCAATTTCGTTAAAGATCTTATACTGGCGTTGAACATGATCGCCAATGATTGGTTGAAAGCCAAGAGCAACAAAGAGCAGCGCGTGATGATAAAATGCGCACAGAACGCGCGAATCATCCTCATCTTTGGATACGTTCTCATGATCGTAGGATTCAGTTTTCTCACCTTTCTACCTTGCTTCGGAACATCGCTGAGATACATTACGAACATCACCGATCCGGCCAAGATCCTGCCGCTACAAACGTATTACTTCTATGACAAAGATCAGAGTCCGTATTATGAGCTCACGTTCACGGCGCAAGCTTTGCTACTTATAATGGCAGCTACATGTTACACCGGCGTGGATAATCTGCTCGGATTACTGGTATTCCACTTGTGCGGCCAAATGGAAAATTTGAAAGAACGATTGATCAACATGAGGCAATATAAAAATTTTTCCAGCGGTTTCACTTTTATCGTCGAAATCGTCGAGGATCACATACGGCTAATCAAGTTTCGTGTTGAATTTTGGTAGCAACGGAAGTTATAGAATTTAATATGTTCATCTCCTTATATATTTTTTATGCAATTTCAGATATTCCTAGATTCGAAAAATCTCTCTAATTACATTCTTCTTTCAGATATTTCGACATTGTTGAGAATACATTCACTCTACTGTTACTCGGATTGCTGCTTTATTTCGGCACTTTATTCTGTCTATACGGATTTTTGATCGTCATGGTAAGTCGCAAAAAAAACCCTAACCTGTCCTTCTCAGATAGAATAATGAATTAAGACACAAAAAAGTGCGGTCTTGTATTTTCGAAATTCCGTAGAAGTTGCAAAATGCAGAACCGCAGAAAAAACGATTTTTAACTATTTTATTTTAGTCGCATTAAAAATGAAATTATATATTCAACGTTTCCTAATTTTTTTATTTTTGATAATGCCCTAATGCTTGTGGAATATTTTTATATAAACTGTTTTATTCTATATAAATATGAAATTATGAGCTCGAAATAATACATTAATATTATATTAATAATTTAATGAAACAAGCGGTGCAATAAAAAATTAAATTTTTGGTCAAAATAATGCCATTTCATGCTATTATTTGCGATAATACTGTTTATCTTAGATACTCACGGAAGGAAGGGAAATGTCAATGATGCGTTTCATATACTTAATATCTGTAGCATTAAACATTTGCGGCCACATGTGCCTATATTGCGTAGTAGGCGAGATTCTGGTAGCACAAGTAAGTAACCAAGTCATTATGACAGTAGAAAAAAGTGAGACAAAAGATAAATAATAATGAATAGATGCGATGGATGACCACGTATATTATCTACGAATTATTATTTATAAAAAGTGCGAAGGAGTATATCACGCAGCATATGATTACGAATGGTACACATTGAAGCCGGAACAGGCGAGAAGCCTGATCCTGATAATGATACGGGCTAACAAGCCTCTGTATATTACAGCTGGGAAAATATTTCCTATGACACTGTCGATGTTTTGCAACGTAAGCGTCTTTTATCTAATAATATTTTAATAATTTATACAATAACGACACCCAATCTCGCTTGATAAGCAACTTCTATCATAATTCTAATACTTCTAACATAAATACACACACCGTTCTACTAAAATATATAAATTATGTATATTTTAATAATAAAGTTTCTAATATTATATCGTTTAAGACATTTTCCTACTACGAATCAGTACGATATTCTATTATAACATTGCTCGCAATTTTTTTATGCAAAACATAAAATAATTTTTCAAATAAATATATGTAGATATGCATTTGAAAAGAATAGCAGCGCTACTATAGCTATACTGTAAGCATCTCATTGCAATATTGTTTAAAGAACCATATAAATAAAATTTTATAAAACGTATAATATTATACATATAATATAATAATAGAATATTAGAAGATATATTACCAAAGATAGTTATTTCAAATATTTTCTTTTAAAATAAAATGTTTTGTAATGATTTGGCGAACCGCTGCTCAATATTAGCAGGTATAGCATATATATATATATGAATGCAAAAAAATTAAGCTAAAAATTAACAAATTCATTGCCACATAGGGTAGATGTCGCAATTACTGTCACCTTAAGCTTATAATACCCTAACTTCATTTAACCGTTTTGAGTGTTGATGAAGCTAAAAAATGCCTCACTTTGAATCATAATATTACTTAATAACTCTATTATTATAAAAAAAATTATTGTGCATTAAATATAAATACTCAAATTAATAATAAATAAAAATCAGAAATCTGCGATGTCCCTATGACTGTCATTTAAAAAAACATTTTGTCCGTATAACTGACACCCAATAATTGCCAGTCCCTTTGACTATGACCAGATCACTGCCAGACCCAGTGCCAGTCTCGCTGTGCCCGAAAAAAAGTTAAAATAATCTGTAGGTGAGGGTCAGTTATGCATACTTGTGACGTTTTTTGGCCCGAACACTGACGACAGTCTGACGGACAAACCAGCAAATATTGTCCCTATTGCTGTCAGCGTTAATAATAATAATTTAACATAAAATATCACTTATTTCACACAATATTTCATTAAAATAATTCTTATATAGCTCATTAATTCATTTTAAGTAATCAATATAGATTATATAATATAATTATTGCCCTTTCTTTAGTACTTTTGCATCGCCTTTTATTTACGTAGTCGCACTTTTGATACCAAAACTTAACGTTCAGTTTTTATCATTAATTTCTAAATACTAAGTAAAAACAAATACGTTTCGTCATTTCTTTGTTTTCATATAAATTAAAATATTGAATTAATAATAATATCTTTTTTGAACATGTTTGTTTACAAATTTATTTTTTATCAGGCAAAATAAATAAAATGGCAGTTATATGTTGTCGGTAATACGCGCTATATTTATGTCTAACGGCGATGAAGAATGTTGTATTATACTTATATGTGTCACTGGCAATCGAACCTATCGATTGCTCGACCGCTATTAACCAACAAGTAAAAAAGGCACCTCTGTCTTTAACATCAATTCATTGCTTATACCAATAGCAAATAACAGAACGAGTTAAACGGTAACCCTGCTGATTTCCGAAATTAAAAATTCTCTTCGTATATCAAGATTCACCGACGATTTAAAATTTAAGCCCATCCTTTGACTGGTTCAAAAATGTACAATGTTTTCGCTTACTTTTATTGCATCAAAAAAATTTGAATAGAATTGTAATATTATCTTCTTTAACACTCTTCATGCCACGAGCGTAGCAGCACTCCCAAAAATAAAAATTATTATTTTGTTATAATGATATTTGTGTATAGTGTTAATCACTTTCATCTTAATACAAGAAAACGTCATTTACGAAACTTTAGCTACATACATATATCCTAACGCAACACAATGTAAAAAATACTTGTCACTGATAATATGTTGCTATAATACGTTTTACTACAAATGTATCGTCTATATCACACGCATGAAAAGCCGAAGAATCTCCAAGACACTGCATTGCAAGGTATAGCATATGTAAAACGCGCATGCTTCATTATAATTCGAATAGAAGGGGTATGGTAGAGGGTATGGAGAAAGAATATCATTAAAATTTTAAAGCTGCCACCCTAACAAAAAACTTTTTTATTACGACTGCTATATTACATCTGTGAGGTACAATTCAAAACTTTGTAAACTTGAAATACACGAAGAACAGGGACGGACATTAATTTTTATAGATGAAAAATAATCGACAGAACTCCCAAGAAATTATATTCAAAATAATATCGCTAATATTTTGAAAACCCTAAAAATCACACTTACTTTGGAAATTCAAACAAGTATTATATAATTAAGAATCCTCCAAATATTTTTCTATAACTAAAACATCTTATTTCATTAATTAATATAATTAAATTTACATATCTTACAAGATAATATGTTTGTTGTAACAATAAATCAATTGTATTCATTATGTTGATAAATTTAAACCAGTAATTAAAAATATTATTTAATTCGAAACACAACATAATTGTAAATAATTTTCACTCACATGCGGCCCTGTCACGTGTCATACATTGCTATTCGTTCAGACTCCCTTTTCTCGCTTTGCTATGAGAATCCAGCACCTGACAATTACAATGCATGCGACATTTACGAATTTTTTACATCTTGTAGAACAACCTATGAAGTTTACAAACTTTTATGCAGAGCAGTTACCACTCCCCGAAGTCTATGGAATACATCTTTCGAACGGAAAGGTAAAACGTCATTAGTTTCACGTGTCTGAATATGGATACTATCAAGGCTAAAAGATATGCAGGTCCTTGCAATAATAATATCAGTGACAAATCGCGAGCTATAATACATGCCTGCGTGTATTGAAATTAGTGAAATATATATACATTCACATAATTATTTTATTATTAATTATTAAAACAGAAATTTTTTTTTTTTTTGTTATTGTTTGTCCGAAAAGAATATCAAAGAAACATTTAGATGTTTTTACGACATATTATGCAAAAAAATTTTAATGAAAATTCTCAAATTATCAGGTCTACCGGAAGGTTCTGTCCGTTTTTGGAATAAAACAAAATACAAATTTTTATTACCGTCAATAAACTTTATTAAATAATGTAATTGCCATTATTCGGAGAAGTATTGTCAGCAACTGGATAATTTAAATACAGCAGTCCAAGAAAAGAGGCCGGCGATGTACAATAGGAAGAACATCATACTGCATCATGATAATGCCAGGCCACATGCTGCTTTGGGGACTCGTCAAAAAAGTGCAGAACTAGGCTGGGAAATTCTGTCGCATCCACCATATTCCCCGGACTTAGCACCCACCGACTATCACTTGTTTTTGTCCTTACAAAACTTTTTGAGGGGCAAAAAATTCAAAAAGGAACAAGATATCAAACAAGCACTGGTTCGCATCAAAAGATAAAACATTTTTCGAAAATGGGATATACAAATTGCCCTCACGCTGGCAAGAAATCATTAATAATAATGGCAATTACATTATTTAATAAAGTTTATTGACGGTAATAAAAATTTGTATTTTGTTTTATTCCAAAAACGGACAGAACTTTCCGGTAGACCTGATATGTATATATAAGATTAGATAAGAACTATATTCTCAGAAATGCGAATATTTCATTAATGCAATAGAATCAAAAATAATTATAAAATTGTTAAAAATTATTATCATTTTATTCAATAAACCTCACGAAACAATTAAAAACAATTAACACATATGTATAAAATATACTTTTCTGATATTATATATTTGCCTTATTTACAAATTCACTGTGATTTGCATGTATAATAAGAAATTAAATGAACTTATCTATATAGATTTCGAATGGTCAATCAAGCTGAATCGCTTTGCGCTGAACATGCTCGGCTTATGGCCACAAGTTTACGAAAATGTCTGCGATAGATTTTTATCGGATTTGCGAACGATATTTTCATTTCTCCTATTTGTTTTCATCGGTTTGATTCCCGCGATACATTCGCTTGTGAGAACGTGGGGTGACATGATCGCGATGATAGACAATCTCCAATTCACTTTGCCGTTAGTGATGACAATAATAAAGCTAGTGATCATACGATGGAGGAAAACTGGTAATAATTATTCAGAGATTTAATTAACGCAATCAATATCCTAAAGTCCTAAAACAATTTTTATGCGCGATATCAATTAGCTTGATACGTGAATTCAATTGACTGAATTTATGTGACGCGGAATAGTTCCAAAATTGGAGAATATCGGCGAGAAAGTTCTTCGTATCAAAAATATTTCTCGCCGATATTGCTGCTATATTTTTAATTACGCTGCAACAAAACGTGAAAAGAATATAATACAAGAAATTTCTAGTAAACAATACCATTGATGTTTATTTTAGAGAGACTTTTTATGAAGTTTTTAAAACTAGAATATAATTCGCAATTTCGTTAAAGATCTTACAGTGGCGTTAAAGATGATCGCCGACGATTGGATGAAAGTCAAAAGCGAGAAAGAGCAGCACGTGATGATAAAATACGCACAGAATGCGCGCGTCATCCTCACCTTTGCATATTTTTTCATGATAGTCGCATTATGTTTGCTCATCTTTCTACCTTGTTTCGGAACATCGCTAAGATACGTAACGAACATCACCGATCCGGTCAAGATCCTGCCGCTACAAACATATTATTTCTATGACACAGATCAGAGTCCGTATTATGAGCTCACATTTGTGGCGCAAGCTTTACTACTCATAATGGCAGCTACATGTTACACTGGCGTAGATAATCTGCTCGGATTATTGGTATTCCACTTGTGTGGCCAAATAGAAAATTTGAAAGAACGATTGATCAACATAAGACATAAAACCTTTTGCAGTGGTCTTACTTTCATCATCGAGGATCATATACGGCTAATCAAGTTTCGTGTTGAATTTTGGTAGCAGCGGAAGTTATGAAATTTAATGTGTTCATCTCCTTATATGTTTTTTTATGCAATTTTGGATGTTTCTAGATTTGAGGAGTCGCTCTATATAACTATATTCTTTTTTCAGATATTTTGACATTGTTGAGAATACATTCAATATACTGCTACTCGGATTGCTGCTTTATTTCGACATTTTATTCTGCCTATATGGATTTTTAATCGTTGCGGTAAATCGCAAAAAAGAAAACCCTAGCCTGTCTTTCTTAGATAGTATAATGAATTTGGACACAAAAAAAGCGAATTTGTATTCTCGAAATTCCATACAAGTTGCAAAACGCAAAATCGCAGAAAAAGAGATTTTTAACAATTTTATTTTAATCGAAGTAAAAATAAGATAATATATTCTACGTTTCTTCATTTTTTTATTTTTAGTAATACCCTAATGCTTGTGAAATATTTTTATATTAATTATTTTATTATATATATATATATAAATATAAAATTATAAGCTCGAAATAATGAATATTATATTAATGTTTAATGACAAAAGCGGTATAATAAATAATTAAATTTCTGGTCACTATAATGACATATTTCGTGCCATTATTTGTGATAATACTGCTTATCCTAGGTATTCACGGAAGGAAGAGAAATGTCAATGATGCGTTTGATATACCTAATATCTGTAGTGTTAAACGTTGGCGGCCATATGTGTCTGTATTGCGTAGTAGGCGAGATTCTGGTAGCACAAGTAAGTAAACAAGTCAATATAACAGTAAGAAAAAATGCAAAAAAAAAACAGATGATAATGAGTAGACGTGATAAGTATGTGATCACGTGTATTATTTATGAAAAGTGCGAAAAAATATATCACGCAGCGTATGATTACGAATGGTACACATTGGAGCCGAAACAAGCGAAAAGTCTGATCCTGATAATGATACGAACCAACAAACCTCTGCATATTACAGCTGGGAAAATGTTTCCTATGACACTGTCGATGTTTTGCGACGTAAGCTTCTCTTACTTGTTATTATTTTAATCATGTATACAATGCCAACCTCTTTCGGCAAACAATTTATCGCACACACACACGCGCACACTATTGTACTAAAACTAAAATATTGATTACGTATATTTTTATATAATTTTTTAAATATTATATTATTTAAAAAATTTTTCTACTAAGAATCAATACATTATTCTATTTTAACATCGCAAACAATTTTTTTGTAAAAAATATGAAATAGTTTACCAGATAAATTTAAATATATAATCTGCATTTGAAAAAAATGCGAAATGACATCTCTACATAAAAATTATTAATTTGTTTTTTTATTAAACTTTTTGTATATTTAATGTATTACAAAAGATATTAAAAAGATTTATCACTATACTCCAGATTTTTCCTTAATTTAGTATTAATATTACTTCATTAAAAAGATGTATGTGTCATATGTCAAAACGTTGTCAAAATCATAAAAATTTCGCGTAAACTGTTTTACTATTTCTTCTGAGTATCTCAGCAAAATTCTCTTAAAAATTTGGAAATCATTTGTTTAAAGTTTGTATTGATTCTTATGGAAAATCCCGTATGATGTGCAGCATTTATTGATAAATTTGAGGAAAAAACATTGTCAGCGAAATACAAATTTTCACATGTATTGACAAAACTTTAATAAACATTTGTGCAAAACTTAATTTACATTCACTTACTCGTTTAATAGTTATTTACTAAAAGTTGTAGAAAAATATTTATAACCCAAAGTCTTTCTGTAAATTACTCGTTTTTTTTTTCTTTGTTTCTCGCAATTAATTTCAGGGGATCATATTCATGATCAGAAGTTTTTGCCACAAATTGGAAAAAAATATTAATTACAACTATTTATTTGTATATTCTTACAATGTGTCAAGACACACATCATACATTATAAAATAAATATATTATTTTGTAAATTTCAGTTAGTAAAAACTTCAGGCGGCTATGTATCAGTTCTACTCGCCAGCCAAAGTTCATAAAACTAATTTCAGAGTTAGAGAAAGAGAAGTATTATATTATATTATAATATTATATTATGTTAATATTATATTAT